ATACACCATACAATTCATCCTAGATAAGCACTGGGCTGTTAACTGCAAGGCTGATAGTTCAAATCCATCAGCTGCTGCTCAGAAACCCTATACAGGGTCAGGACTACGTGAGTCTGAACTGACTTGATGGCACTTAACAACAACAAAATTCAATCAGTGGCTTTTAGGGTATTCACAGAGTTGTGCATCTATCACCACAGTCAATTTCAGAACATTTTCATTCTCCCCAAAAGAAACTGTATCTCCTAGCCTTCATCCCTAATGCCCTATCTCCCTCAGCCCTGGGCAACTAGTAGTCTGTCTTAAGTTTCTATATGTTTACCTATTGTGAACAAGCCTTGTAAATGAGATCATCTATGTTGCCCTTTGTGGTTAGTTTCTCTCACTCACCATGTGTCCAGGTTCAGCTATGTAACCTGTACCAGCACTCCATTTCTTTGTATTGCGGAGTAACATACATTTACAGGTATATTACATTTTGCTTATTTATTCATGAGTTGATGCATAGTTGACTATTATGAATAACGTGTCCATGAACATCCAAATTCTTGTATGGGCATAGGTGTTTCGTTTGCATTCCTTTTTTAAGTGTATTCAGGGAGTGGGATTGCTGGATCATAAGATAACTCTGTTTAACGAGTTGTTTGACGAACTGCCAAACATCTCCAGAGTGGTTGCAGCATTTAACTCCTCCCAGAAAGTATGTCTGGGTTCCAATTTCCCCCTCACTCTTGGTGGCACTTGTAAATATCTGTCTTTTTAAAGAGTATAGCCATCCTAGTGTGTATCTGGTGATGCAGTGGGTAAAGTGCCCCACTGCTAAAGAAAAGGTATGTGGTTTGAATCCACCAGCTGCTCTGTGAGGGAAAAGATGTGGCAGTCTGTTTCTGTAAAGGTTTGTTGTTGTTATGTGCCATCGAGTCGGTTCTGACTCATAGCGACCCTGTATAGGGTTTCTGAGTAACAGCTGCTGGTGGGTTTGAACTGCTGACCTTGTAGTTAGCACTTCAGTACTTATCTTTCAGCATCACACCAGAACAGTCTTGGAAACCCTCTGGGGCAGTTCTCCCTTGTCCTATAGGGCCACAGAATGAAACGATCTTGTATTGTTGTTTTGAATTGCATCTGCTTCCTGGCCAATGGTGGTGAGCATCTTTTCATGTGCCTTTGTGTCTTGCATCCTAAGGACTGACACATTTCCTTGCCTTTGGAAATGTGAAGGAAGGTTTCTTGTGTTGAGGAGTGAGTGGGAAGGAAAAAAGTGAATGCTCCTCTTACATGAAGTACAGGGATAGATGGAAGCATGTTAGGGTACTTAGTGAAAGTGAAGGACACTAGCTCACTGCAAACAGGCACCCTTCAAACTTCCTCCTGGATGTGGATTGGTGAAGTCTTGCCCCCTGAGATATTGTTATCCTACTTTATGACAAGACCTTCTGAGATTTACTGTATAACCCTTGCTGCACTTAAGAGATCCACTTTACTAGAGACTCTAGCTGTTCCTAGTTCTGTTCGCTTGATCATTAGCTTGAACAGTAACTGTTGGGACTTCTCTGTTAATTGTGTGCCCGTTACTGATGATCATCATAAAGTCCCTTTTCTGGCACCAAGACCCTCTGGTGAGGACTGCTGGCCTGTATTCTCCTCAGTTGTTGCTGCTAGTTTTTGGTGAGTCGGCGTCAAACCATGGCCACGCACATGGAACAGAATGAAACTTTGCCTGGACCTAAACCAGCTTCACATTCGCAGGAACGTTTGAGGCCGCTGTTGTGGACACTGTCAGCCCTCTCTCATTGGGGACTTCTTTCACCTCTGCTAGCCTTCCACTTTACCAGTATGATGTTCTGCTCCAGTGATCAGTCTTTCCTAATGATGTGTCCTACAAAAGCAAGTCAAAGCCTTGGACAGTATTCTGTGATCCATAGGATTTTTGTTGACTAATGATCAGACATAGATTACCAGGCCTTTCTTTCTAGTCTCTCTTAGTCTGGAAGCTTTGCTGAGACCTGCTCACTGTGAGTGATTCAGCTGGTACTTGAAATACTGATGGCATAGTTTCCAGTATCATAGCAACACACAAGCCACAACAGCCCTATCTTATTGTGGTAGGGATAAGATATAATAATTTGAAAACTCTTTAATAGCCTACCTTCTTAATAGGAATTGTAGAGGTGAATTCTAATTCCCTGTGTTTGGCTGTGTCTCTACTGATGTAATTTCTACTATTTTAAATCATAGATTCCACTGAAGGAAAAGAGCATTCCAGACAGTTCTAGAGTCACTTAAAACCTGGGCCTTCAGTAATCAGAACTGTGCTCTGAATTCCTGATAGTTAGGGATTATGGCTTTAAATGTGCATGTTTCTAAGCTGGGACCTTTCTTGACAGTCTTTGGGCACTGGAAAATACCACCTGGGTAATTCTGACTGTCCTCTAGGCAAAAGTAGACAGCTACTCTTACCTTCTCATGAAGCCTTGGCCTTTCCTGAGCTTCAACTCTGCACCTCTGAGCAACCTTTCAGTTGGGTTAATTGAGTAAAGAGAGCAGAGCTTCCTGTCAGTCTTTGGAGCGCTCTCCTAAAATAGTAAGAGAAAATCACCAGAACGTCATTTACCTGCACTGGGAAAAGCCCTTCAACTCTGGGTTAAAATTGACTAACGAGTGTGGGTTCAAAAAGGAAGCTTAGCATGTTTGGTTAGGAGGCATTATGAAGACAGCCACTTCCTGCAATACTAGGGGCAGTGGCAGTTCTAGGAGAGCAGTTAGTGGGTAGCTTTCAAAGTGTCAGCTCTTTGAAGATGGGGCTGTAGCGTGCTCACTATTAAACCCCAGGGGCTAAGAACAGCAAGTGTTCAGTGTGGACTTGTAGGACAAATGCCACTCAGGGGCCAGCGTTCAGAAGGGCTGTATGAAGAGCTATATTATGTCTCAGATGACAGGTTACCCTTGTCAGCAGATACTTTCTTATGTTCTCGTGGTCATTGTCTTTTCTCTGAGAAGGTATGTGGGGGTCCTTAAAAGGGTGTCATGGAGTCCCACACATGAACATGTCAACTTGCCAAGGTAGACAGATGTGTGTTTAGAATTTTAGACTAGTGGGGGAGCAGTGGGAATGGAGGTCTGAAGAGGTAGGGCAAAGGTGGTGTGTGAAGAATAGCATAATGGGAGGAGGGCCTCTTGGGTAGGAGGGACAGCCTGTGTAAAGCTAGGAGTCAGTGGCTAATTTGTGGTGATAAATTGCCAGACCTTTCTTCCTAGTCTGACTTAGTCTGGAAGCTCTGCCGAAACCAGTTCCACTTCATAGCAACACACAAGCCTTCACATGAGATGCATTAGCCAAGCACGACACCCTGACCTCCTGTGTGAAGGATGACAGTTTTACCACCAAGCCACCCCTGCTCTCACCTGGAATATAGCTAGCGATTTTTTTTTTTTTTTTTTTTTTAATTACTTACTACAGTCCTCGTGCAGCGCTGTAGGATAAACACTGAACTGCTAACTGTACGGTCAGCGGTTCAAATACATCATTCACTCCTTAGAAACCCTATGCAGGGTCTCTGTGTGTTGGAACCAACTCTGTGTGTTAGCAACAATATTAATTAGTAATAGTAGTACATTTACCAACTACTCATTAGTTTGCTGTATGAGGCCCAAGAATGAGGCCAACAACCATGGATTTTACTACATGAAAGACTCTGAAAGCTAATTGCTCAAGATGCACTATCATTTCTTCCTTAGCTGCTGGAGGCAGAAGATTCCTTTGCCCTGAAATGTGTGCACACTTTGAGAGAACATTGCTCAGCTGTTCTGCTGTCATACTGAGTCCATGGGCCCAGGGCTCTCCTGAAGGAGTGGATGGATAGCTTGCCATTCCTGTGGCCGCTTTGCACCCTATGCTGGGACCCTGCTTGTTGAGAAGCCGTGATGCAGGACCTTGTGCCGATAGCAGAGAGTGTCTGGGCACCTGTTTGACACTGTGCCATCTAAGATCTTGTTTTGCCCAGGGTGAGAGTGAAAGTGGGAACCGCAGAGACACTCACTGCCACATGCTTCATGTTTCCTTTATTGCAGTGAGCAGGGATGTGCAGCTTCACCCTGCACATGTAACCGAAAGACCACTGACTAGGCTCTTGTTGGTGGCCTCGAGCTGGCTCTCTGGTTCATGGCGACTTTTTGGCTCATGGCAGTGTTACATAGGTCTATGCCTTCTTGGTGGTTCTTGGTATGTTTCAGTCATTGTGTGGCTTTTGTGTTATTTCAGCTTATGGAGGATTTCCTTCATTTTACTAACCCTCTACTTGACTAACCACAATGTCCTTTTCTAGACACTGGTCATTCCTGAGGACATGTTCAAAGTAAAAAGCCAAAGTCTCACCTGCCTTGTTTTAAAGTTTAAGATTGAAAGTGCTATGTCCCCCTGGCATATCTGTCTGGCATCATATGGCCACCCACAGCCCTGAGAGTTTCAGGTCGTCACGGATCACTGATAGTGAAAGCCTGCCATGCCTAAACAATACGGGGGTTCTTCCCCTTCCTCAGGTAATGACCCTTAGAGCATCTCTTTCTTGCTCCCCTCTCAGGTGTGTTTACCTATTCTTACAGAAGCACAGAGTCTCAGAGTGTGTGATGGTGATACAGCGCCACCCTCCGCTTGGGATTCTGCTGACATTTAGTAATAGCTCTTCTATCTCTTTCCACCTTGCAAAGCAAGCTTCCTGTTTTGAACTTGGTCCAGACTGGAACAGCCCCATTACACCTGTTAACACACTGAGACATGCACTCCCTCACCCCCATATTTGCTTAGCTTCCTGGCAGATTTTCCTTCTCAGCTTACAGCTCTTGAATCATAACATAAAATATTAAGTCAGCTAACTGGGGAAGAAAAAAAAAAAAGGGAAGTTTACATTTTAGAGCTATTCAAGTGAAAACAGGGCTTTCTAGTTTATGGCACTGTGCTTTTTTTCCCTCATGCCCACATTGCTAATTTTCCTCCTTCTTCACAGCAGAATGGAACTGAGGAGAGGACATTGGCTGACGCAGGAGCCCGAGTGAGCCTGACAGATTTGCAAGCTCAGCCCACACCATGAACTGGTGTCTGCCTTCTGCACTTTGAGAGCCCAGGACAGGTGAAGTTGCCAGAGAGCAATGGCTCTCTTTACTCCGTGGAAGTTGTCCTCTCAGAAGCTGGGTTTTTTTCTGGTGACTTTTGGCTTCATTTGGGGCATGATGCTCCTGCATTTTACCATCCAGCAGCGAACTCAGCCTGAAAGCAGCTCCATGTTGTGTGAGCAGATCCTGGACCTCAGCAAAAGGTATATCAAGGCACTGGCCGATGAAAACAGGAACGTGGTGGATGGACCATATGCTGGTGTCATGACAGCTTACGGTAAGTACTGTGCTCCTGAGCCTGGATCAAGTGTGTTGTTAGCCGCTACCTTCATGAGTATTCCTTAACAAATTGCTCACAGATGTGTGTTTCTAGAACGTTAATGCAATATCCTGTTGGTGCTACTGAGCTCTTGTACACAGGGACAGTTTACCCCAAGAACAGAACAGTGGGCAGAACAGGGAGTGTGCTGTGAGTTGTATTTAATTTGCAGCTTGCTTCTCCTCCTTCATCACATTTTTGGACTATATGATCTCATCTGGGAGCGTGTTCAGGGAATGCAGAAAACTATTCTCATTATCTTTCCCTAAACAAAACTTAATTGGGCCCAGTGGAGTGAGGTAGGGAGGGATAAAGAGGAATGTTCCATGGATTCCAAGTAACCCAAAGTCCAGTGTATGAGACGTCTCCTCCAGCCATTGTTTAGGACTTGGGGGCACACTTACTGGTCAGTAGCTTAGACTTTATTTCTTCAGATCTTACTACTATTGTTTAATGCCCTTCTTTCAAATTTCCCTCACGGTGTTTTATCCACATTGCTTAGGTGTGTCAAATCCTGTTTTGAAATTATGTAGGCTAAAATAATACATGTACAACATATGGCTTAGTTTTTTTTTACTTTTGGCAAACAAATCTTGTGGTGTACTTAACTTAGAAAATTTTGGAAACTTTAGACTTACAACAACAACAGAAAGAAAGATAAAGAAAAGAAATCACATATAGCGCTACGCTCTAGAAAATGACCACAGTTAATATTTCAGTGTGTATCTTTCTGATATGATATATATTTATATATGAAAAATATATAAACATAAAGGCTTACAAAACAAAACTTGCAACTGAAATTTGGATTATAGTGTGTTTTGCAAAACCCAGCATCCCAGCTCCCCTGGAGTCACTGATGATCCTGAGTGGACTTGATCTATGGAAGATGGCCAGTGGTCACTATAGACAGATCTAGACTTCAGTGGCCTCAGTGTTTGGGATGCATAATCTTACAGAATATTAGAATGGGGCTGGAAAATGGGGAAAAAAGGTGAATATTATGTTTTCTGATCCAATCAAGGGGGCTTCCTGAAGTGTGTAGAGTTCAAATAATGATTCCTGGAAATGTGCAGCAACCCAGTGAAGCTTGAGTTCAAACACATGCAACATACCCAGTTATAGGAGTACATATATAGAATATATACATATGGGAGGGACTCCTGGTGTGGTGCTGTAGGATTGGCACTGGACTCTGAACCACAGGGTTGGCAGTGCCATCGAATTGGCACCAACTCATATTGGCCCCGTGCATAAAAGAACAAAACACGGCCCGGTCCTGCATCAGCCTCATGACAGTGGCTACAACTGAGCCCATTGCTGCTGCCATTGTGCCAATCCATCTAATTGGAAGTCTTCCTCTTTTTCTCCAACCCTCCACTTTAACCAAACTGATGTCCTTCTCCAGGGACTGGTCCCTCCTAACAATATGTCCGAAGTATGAAAGACCAAGTCTAGCCATCCTGGCTTCCAAGGAACATTCTGGCTGTACTTCTTCCAGAACAGATTTGTTAGTTCTTTTTGTAGTCCATGGTACTTTTAATAGTCTCCTCTAATACCATAACATAAATATTCCTTATTCACTGTCCAACTTTCACATGCACATGAGGCTATTGAAAACACCATGGCTTGGATCAGACACACCTTAGTCCTCAAACTGACATCTTTGCTCTTGAACACTTTAAAGAGGTGCTGTTCCACGGGAGAAAGATGAGGCTTTCTGCTCCTGTAAAGATTTACAGCCTTGGAAACCCTGTACAGGGTCGCTATGAGTCAGAACCAACTCCACGGCACATGATAATAACAACATATATATATATATATGTTGTTGTCAAGTGCTTTCAGGTAGGTTCTAACTCATAACAACCTGTATTGGTTGTCCAAGAAGTGATTGGTGAGTTTGAACCACTGACTTGCGTTTCAAATTGACTTTGTGGTCTAATGCATTATCCTGCAGTGCCATGCCAGGACTCCATATTTCCATATCTCTCTCTCTCTCTCTCTCTCTCTCTCTCTCTCTCTTTCTCTCTCTCTCTCTCTCTGTGTTATTGTTGTTGTTAAGTGCTGTGGAGTAGGTTCTGACTCATAGCAACTCTGTATAGGGTTTCTGAGGAACAACTGGTGGGATTGAACTGCCAATCTTGTGGTTCACACTGGCCTCACACTGGCCTTGTGGTCCACTGCTTACCTGCAGCACCACATCAGGGCTACATATATATATAAAGAAAGTTCATGGGACTTAGTTACTTTATTTCATTTAATAGTTTTGTTTCATATTTTTTTTTCTTCAGGAGAGAATGGGTTACTTACAAGGAACAATGTGGAAATTCTTTTTGAGTGCTTATCCTTTGCATTATTTCATCATCTGCTTTTATTTTATCCATTCCAGATTAGACATTCTCCATTGGCACTGACTTTTTATACGTTGAAGTAAAATACACTCTTTTGGGTCTGTGGAGAGCCCATATTGAAAAACATCTAGGACATATTTTTATTTAGATCTTCTCTTGTTTAGTTGTAATTTGATAGTAGATTACCAGTTCTGGGTACCAACACCTTGCAATAAGCCAGGAGGGTTGAGTGAGTAGTTGGTATAGTTAGGTGGAATCCTGGAAAACCAGAGAGCCATTCTGATAACGTGTACTTCCCCTGGTATTCATGAAGATCAGCTTTAAGCACATTAGCACTGGCAGTTTAGGTCCTACAGAGAGAGTCTGAAGGGCGCCTGAGTTGGGAAGAGGATGTAGGGGCCTGCAGTTTGTAGTCTCTCATTCTACCAGGAAGTAGTCCATGTGCAGTGCATTATCTAGGTATCTGTTGTGGAAGAGTGAAGAACTGCTTCTTAGGACTAAGGTCTGTGTCTGGTTTGTATGAATCCAGTTAACATGATGCTACCTCATGCTGGTCTCATCAGAGGCTCTCTGTCTTCTTTCTAGAGGTGTGGCAGTTGTTTGAAGAATTGTAATTGTTGATTTTAGGCTATTACTAATTTGTTAGAATCCTTGGCATGGGATCCTAGAGCAAGATGCAGCAAGCTTTGGACTGTGGGTCATATTCAGTCCTCAGCCTATTTTTGTAAGTTAAGTTTTATTGGGACACAGTTGTGCCCTTTTTGTCTATGTATTGTCTGTGATTGCCTTCATGCTAAGATGGCAGAGATGGGTAATTGCAACAGAGACCACAAAACTTGGCGTATTGGCTGTCTGACCCTTTACTGCAAATGTTTGTCAGTCTTTAACCAGCCTTTCTACCTGTGAGATTGTTTTGAACCAGATTTCTTTCATCCTTGTCTTTGGATTACTCAAAGAAAGCTTCTTTTAAAGGACTGTTCTTCCATCCTCTGGGAACGTGGGAGCTGTAATGGTTAGGAATGTGTGTGTTTTGAAGAGCATCTGGTTTGGTTTGGCCACATCGTGACTGTACATCCTGCACCCTGGGGACATCTGTGTCAATTTGATCAGGTGACTGAATCTTGGATGAGATGCTGTATGTCAGGAGCCTTTATGCTGTAGATATTGATGGTTGATTTAACTAATGCTCAAATCATAATAGAAGAACTTCCAAATAGCACCTAATAACCCCTTCCCATCCTTCACCATCCTTGTTTAGGTATTTGAAAAGACGCTTCTGAATTATTTCCAGACTTACTAATCAGACTTGGTGCCTGCAACATCTTCCTTACAGCCTGTGTGGGACAAGCAGAGCATTCCCACTTGGGGTGTGGAGGGGGCTATGTGTGCTCCCCTTTCACGGCCGAGAGAGTATGTGTCAGCCAGCACCTCGCTGCTACTTGCCACTGATCATCAGTTACTCAGTAGGATTGCACAGTGAGAGGTGCCACTCATCCCAGTCAATACCATTGTTGTTTCTGAGGTGAATTCATTTCTCTCTCAAGTGGCCTGACCCAAATTCTGATCCTGGGTGATCACCTCTTATCTAACAGAACTGCTGGGTCCACTTGCATTCTCTAACAGGAAAGGAAAAATGAGACAAGTAAGACTGCCCTCGTGATCCACACTCTGTGAACTCTCACCTGCTTGCTTCTCTGGGCCGTGAGAGCGGAGCCTGGGAGCTCTCATCAGCTCAACCTGCAACCAATGTGACCCTCGTCTTCTCTCTGCCAGCAGCCACTCCCAGGTCCCATTTGAGGGCTGTCTGGCTTCTGTATGGACCTCTAGGTCGTGTTTCCTGCTCCTCCCTCTCTTCTCTTGTGTCTCTGTTCCCTGAATTTCTGAGCCCTAGGCTTCCACCTGACTGATTCTGACTATTTAGGCCACACCAGGACTACACACACAAACATAAGGGGTCTTCAAAATGTTCACGGAAAATGGAATGAAAGATAAAGAATTTTTCCACAAATTTTTGAAGCCCCCTCATATACAAAAGGAGTCCTAGTGTAGCACTGTGGGTTAATGGGCTGGACTGCAAGGTTTGTTTGTGCCCTTTTTGTATACATATTGTCTCACCAGCTGCTCCTCGGAAACCCTATACAAGGTTGCTGTGAGTCGGAACGGACTCGAAAGTCCTCTGATTATAAATGCTAATCACATCTTCAAAACAACTTCATCGCAAGTCTACAATAGTATTTGACCAAACAGCTGGGCACTGTAGCCTAGCCAGGCAGACACATAAAATTAACCTTCACAGTACCCACAGGGTTCCTTTGGATTGGGAGGTAAGAGAGGGCCTCTCTGGGGAGATGTTATTTAACACAAATGTCACACCAAAACACCATGTGAGGGTGGGGTCTGGGCAGAACATGCCAGATAGAAGGTTGTGTACATGAATCAGGCAAAGAGCAGATGATGCAAGCCCTGTAGGTTGTGGATCATGGTGTGATTGGCTGATGATGGGAGAGGGAGGGAAGTGATGGGAATGTTCTTGTGACTGAACCAAGCCTGGCCTGCCCCTGCCTGTTGCTGGCCTTGACTTGCCCTAAGATCTAGTACCCAGCATCC